GCAAATATCAATGGTGTAAGATGGTCAAAGTGGAAAACAAATATTATGTTCATTTGGTGTAGTGGTTAAAACGTTAATGGCTGATGACCTTCACATTCAATATGTCTTGAGTTCGGATCCCCACCTGCACCAATTTTTATCCGGAAGTGGCCTCTGGGTTTGGTGGGTCAGCCCAATTTCTATCCGGAAATCTGCCTCTGGGTTCCAGCCAAAATGGCCCAATTTCTATCCGGACAGTGCTATGGGTTTTCAAAAAAAATTCAGAATTTTTATCCGGATTGGGATCTGGGTTCCAAGGGTATTTTCAGGGGTCCTGTGGTGATGGGGAGATGAGGTTAGTGATTTGTATCTGCATTAGTGTTGTTAGCAATGAGAGTGTTCCATATGAAATACGGGACTCACCTGGCAGATCTCCCGCTTCTCCCCCAGATGCGTCCCTCAACACGTCATTCCAACCCCTGGCGCACAAACACGCTGGTCCAGGTGTTGCTCTTGTGCCCATGGGTCCGTCACGCTTTCTCACTGTTTGAGGCATGGAGCTACTAGTGACGCTCAGTAAAAACGAAAGTCAGGTGAAGTCATCGAATTCTCACAAGACAGTCATGTAAAGTCACATTGGTAAATACAAAGTCATGCTAAGTCATGTCGCGCTCAGGGAGGCATTTGCAAAGATTCCACAGCCTGACTGAAGTCGAGGAATAGTCAATTACTAGTCAACTACAAGCTATGTTGTAGTCTAGTCCTGGTCATCTGAGTCACTCAGTACTACCATCTGTATCGCCTTTGTCCTCTTCACACATGCTTGACGTAAAACTTAAAAGAACAGCAAGGCGAGTGAACAAGTCAAAAATTTGTTAAGTCCGTTGAAACTCTGACATCAGCTGATCATGTTGAATTTTGATTCAGCGCGAAAATTCCTCGGTTCTTCCCAAGTTCTTCCTTCCCACCACGTCCAGTTCAAAAGTCGATGAACGGTTTCCTCCTCGCGAAAAACGGCCTCCTCCCCACAACAAATGGCCCCCTCCCCGCAACAAACAGCCTCCTCCCTCCCTCAACAGGCAGCCTCCTCTTCCGAAGAACAGTCTTCTCTCATAGAGAGTACCCTCCCTTGATGAAAGGTCTCTTCCCTCCTTCGACAAACGGTCTCAAGTTCTCCCTCAACAAACAATCTCCCCCGCCAACGGATGGTCTTGTCCCTCAACAGACGGCTCCTGTATCAATTAATGGTCTTCTCCCTCAACACACGGCTCCGTTATCACTGAATGATTGATCCCCTTGATGAATGGTCTATTCCCTCGATGAATGGTATCCCCTCGACGAACGGTATCCCATCGACGAACGCGGTCCTTTTGACGAACGGTCTTTCCTCGACGAACGGTGTCATCCCTCGACGAACGGTCTTTCCTTGACGAATGGTGTCGTCCCTCGACGAATGGTATCTCCTCGATGAACGGTCTCCCCTTGACGAATGGTCTCTGAGCTCCTGAATGGTCTTCTCGCCCTCCACCCTTACCTCGACAAACGGTTCCCTCCTTCCTTCGACAAATGATTTCTCTCTCGTGGCCAGGTGTACATTTAGGAGATGGTTATCAGAACTTCAGGTGGTTGACTCAAGCTAGAAGGGGTGTATATCCAGCACAGTCAGTAAGCTTGGGAATGAATATATGATTTGACATTTCCATGACCCCAACTTGACTGTTACTTGAGAAATACACAACTAACATCTGTCAATTAAGTGACTTGAGCATGACTGGAATGAGACTATTACACTACCATAGCATGACTGTTTTTTGACTTTTATTTGACTATGAAGAGACGACTACATGACTGCCAAATGACTGTATGATGCATATATTTGGCATCAGGAGGGGAGACCACACGACTTGACATGACTTGGCGAAGTCAACTTGTAGTCAAAATTTTGTAAAATTCACTGCTTTTAGTCATGTCTTACAATTTCGTGCAGTGGTGTGACTACTACATGACCAAGACCCGACGAATCGTTTTTACTGAGAGTGACGGGTCAATTGCTGCGGCGTCCGAAAGTTCAAACGACGTGTTGGCGGGCTGGCGAGGTTGAGTGTGTGTCGGAGAGGTTGGAGGTGAGAGGCAGGAGGGAGGTGAGAAGGCGGGAGGGAGCATCAGAATAAAGACGCAGTGGAAATCCAGCCCATACTTACCGTAATTTACACAATTTACAATTCACTCTGTAAATTCAAGCAAATAACTAGATTTATTGACTTATCCTGAATTGTGCGAAACGGCGAACTGCCGAATTGCCGAAATTTCCAGATCCGAGATTTTTTGAAACTGCCGGTGGTCAAGTTGGTTGACATGTCACATGTCACACGTGACACGCAGCTTGGTTAATTATAAATTTCAGCGTCACCGTTGCTCAGTAAAAACGATTCGTCATGTCTCGGTCGTATGGTAGTCACGCTACTACACGAAAATGCACGACATGACTAAAAGCAGTCTTTTTTACAAAATTTTGACTTTGAGTTGACTTCACCAAGTCGTGTAAAGTCGTGTGGTCTCCTCTGCTGATGCCAAATATATCCAGGATACAGTCATTTGGTAGTCATGTAGTTCTCTCCTCCTAGTCCTTTCATAGTCAAATGAAAGTCAGAACACAGTTATGCTACCGTCGTATGATAGTCTCATTCCGGTCATGCTCAGGTCATTTGATTGATGTATGTTAGTCATGTATTTCTCATCTCAGCACCATGTCGGGGTCATGTAAATGTAAAATCATTAATTCCCCAAACATACTGACTATACTGTATATAGACCCTACTAGCTCAATCAACCACTTGAAGTCCAAGCTCTCATCTCCTAATCATAAACCTCGAGCGTCGAGAGGAGGCCGTGTGTTGAAGAAGGGAGGAGAATGTGAAGTCAGGGGGAGGCCGAGGAGACCATTCATCAAGGTAGGGGGGAGGCCGAGAGCCCCATTCATTAAGGGAGGAGACAGTACAGCGAGAGAGGAGACAGTCATTGAGGGAGGAGACAGTTTGTTGAAGGGATACTATCCAGCGAGGGAGGAGACAGTTCATCCAGGGGATACCATTCAGAAGACAGTTTATTGATGGCAAGTTCATTCCAAGTCTGTTCGTCAAGAGAGTAAGCCGTTCGTCGAGGGAGGGAGGAGGCCCTTGGTGGTACTACCTAACAAATGGGAGGAGACCGTCCATCGGAAGAGGAGGTAGCCCATCGAGGGAGGGAAGAGGTCGTTCGCAAGAGGGAGGAGGCCGTTCGCAGGAGGGAGTAGGACATTCGCAGGAGGGAGGAAGCCATCTGTCGACTTATAAATTGGACCTCTTGTTGATGTGGTGGGAAGGAAAGAACTTGGGAAGGAAGAACAGGGAATTTTCGTGCTGACTCGAAAGTCAACATGATCACCTGATGTCGTCGGAGTTTCAACGGACTCGAACAAATTGTGACTTGCATTTGTCGAAAAGTAATACAGAGGATACTAGTGAATCGGTTGATGAGGACCAGACTACAACACAGCATGTAATTGACTATCCCTCGACTCCAGTCAGGCCGTGAACACATAACAAATACATTCTTGAGCGCCACATGACTTTGAACTCACCAACATGACTTCACATGACCTTCTTGCGAGAAATTGATGACTTTACTTGACTTTCGTTTTTACTGAGGTTGATGGGCTTCGAGTTCAAGATTTCATGTTTTGTCTATGTGTTTTCCTCATAATATTCAAACGGTCGTCGGAATGAGTTATGTTATGGCGGATGAGTCATGAGTTTGGGCATCACTTACACGTTGCCCCGCAGAAATTCGGGGCCCGTAAGAAGATGTTGAGAACGTTTTTCGAATCTGTAACCGCTTTACAGGGAGCTCCAGAATCTGAACAGGTGTATGGAGGCCGGCACCACCAGTACGGACGGCACCGAGTTCGCGAGAAGTTCAACCAACTTGTACAGTATACAAGTGCCCCGATGTTCCCGGGTAAACAATATTTACGCAGTCCGGCCGTCGAAGTCCAACATAGCATAGTGCTGATGAAACGTTAGAAGCTGAGGAAGTCAAGTCTGAGCGTGCACTCCGAAGATTTCTAACAGATGGTGGTGACGGGCTCTGCGTCCGAGCAACTTCTCGTTCGTTTCCAAGGACCAAGTATTCCGGTATGGCTCGCCAAATTCTGTATAAAAGGGCATGCAGAGTTTCACTTTAGAAATAACATCGCTTCACTTCACCAAACACAACTCAGACTCACTTACCTCAGTAATCTTCAAAGCTAAATCAACATGAAGTTCATCTTATCCGCCATGCTCCTCCTCCTCGCGCCACTCGCAGTCTCTGCCCAAGCAGACGCTATCGCACAGTGCGGTGGTTGTACTACTGCAAAGCTCAGTTGCAGCCCTGGATGGACCGCGCGTCAATCGTTCATGAACGGCCAGCCGTGCTGGAAGTGTTGCAAGAATTGAGTCGGTATTGAATGTTCCCGCTTTTCTTCTGCTTTTTTACGAGTCTATGTTGACCCTTTAGTTAATAGATCCGGATATTCAACGTTCTATCCCTGGATGTCTGATTTTTCTTAGTTGTTGTGCGAGAGTTGGCGGGGCGGAGAAGTGGATGTGGATGTGTGGACATTTGTAGATGAATAAACATATCTGATTTGATGGTATTTTTAGCTGGGCTGAACTTGAGGGTATAAATGAGAAGGAGGTAACCTTGGACTGCAAAGGGTAGAGGTGAGCTTTCGGAGTGCGACGAGATGAATTATCGACTGCTTACTTCTAGTAAGCGCGGAGTTTCATAAACTAGGGGTTTTCGCCATCATAAGGACTTTACTTGGCCAACGAAATTAAATGATTGAAATTACTTACCGCCGGGCCTGGTGTATGGACCCCTCAAGCTGTCCTTTCGAAATTCATTTGGGTCGCGGCCTTGATTGATTTGCTGAGAGATAACAAGTTCGGAAGGCCTGGTTGGTCATAGCATCGATGGGGCCGTCACGCGTCATTGCCAACATGAACGCATTTCAAGCCTGCTCAGCCTCCCCAGAATTTGCCCAGAATGCTCAACAGGTGAGTTTGTTCGGACAGAGATGTGACGCAAGGTGACGCATCATTTTCCCCATAGCCACGTGAAGATATAGCACGTGACGCGACGTCCTCCTGGACATCGTTCCGATTCGTTGTTGCTTGTTCTATACTACTACTGCGGGCCTTCTTTTCCTCATCTCAATCCTCATTATCCATGTCGTCAAAAAGCTCAGCTTGCAGTCCTAAGTAAGTTTACCGATCTTTTCCTCTTATAATCCACGAATACACCCCAGACAGATCAATGAAATAGCAAGAGCCATCTCAATCGAGGTCCGGGATCTCTTGGATGAAGTTGGGAGGTTAAGAGACCAGCGTCGACAGCTCCAATAGCAAGTCATCCTTCGCCTTACCAAACAGCGATGATCATCCTGATCAGACACCACATACAGCGAGATCGCACAAATCATGAGCGGCAAATCGCAACACGGCGCGGGGGGTGAATATGTGCCGGATTGGAGACCATACGTACGTCGATCTTCCTCTTCGATTACGATGTTTCACGCCTTTACGACCTTACGCAGATACAATCGCCACCTCCACCAGAAGAAGCCCCACCGCCCGCCATGCCAGAGATACCTGAAGCGAAACCTGGTGGTTGGCGTGTCGTTGATAAGCGACCACCACGGAAGGCTAGGACGACTCCGAAGAAGATAGAACCACCACCTCCGGCGGCACCTGTGTTTGAGGTGCCGCCTCCGAGGCAGAATACACCTGCTTGGGCGCAATGGCGACGTGCGTGTCTCTTGCACTCTGTTTTTTTTAGGACACGTGTTGATTGTGTGATATGATGTTTGTTTAGCGAACCCACTTCTTGCTCCGACACCTCCTGTAGCGCCCTCTGCTGCACCTACCGGACCACCGCCTAGATCAGGCCTCTTTGGTGCAAGTACGCCGCCTCCGGGTGGTAGGTAATATGATCTACGCTCTCCATCTACTACATGTACGAAATCTCCTTGGCATGTACATTATACTGATACCCCGCTTCCTTTGCTCTCAAATATACTCTGTCTCAACATTATCAGATGCCTGTCAGTACGACTTCTCTATCATTGAGAAATTGATTTGATTTCTGTGTTTTCTGCACCTGAAATAGTCTAGGTGTGCCAATCATGACTGCAATTAGCGGTATGCTGTTGCCAGTGAAGGGGACTCCAGACCATCGGACATTTTCTAATGACAGCCCAGCTTACCGTTACCTGATAACTCTCCATGATCTGGCGGATTTCAATCTCGCCTGAGCACCACGGCAGAAGTTTAGATGTGGAGCGCAAGTTCCGAGATCCAGTCAGTTGATCACTTTCCGCCGAAAACCTTATTTCTTGAAAAGATGTGATGTCGGCCCAAAGCCCGCACCCAAACGCGTATCGCGCGAACACATAAGTACCCGAGTACATCTTCTGTGAAATAAGTGGTTGCTTTTGCAGTTTTGGCACGATATATTTCTAGGATAAAGAATATTTACAAGGGAGTGAGTACAGTAACTACCTACGGCAATCCAAAATAGCAAATCTGTAATACCTATGCTACTAGAGCAACATCTTGTAACGGCGGGGAAGTAGTTGGCCACATACCAGTCGCGACTTGGATCCCCTAGCCTCCCAGCCCCTCCATTTCCCACTTGGAGGGGCATCATCCCACGCCCTGCCATGTGCATCGCGTCGTGGTCGCTTGTGCTGGAATTCACCCGACCCGTCGCTGGTGTCGGACTTGCGTGAATGGATGGGGCCGCGTCCAAGTCCTGTCATGCGCGTTGGGCGGTCAATTGCTTGTCTTCACTGCTGGCAGCTTTTGTCGTCGACGGCGTAGTTGGGCACTCGGCGTTGGAGTCATCGTTTTTGCACCCTCGCTGGATGTGGTTGGCGTAGTCGGGGTTTCTGTTGTGATACCGACGTTGGGCAGATTTTCGGTTGCAGAATTTGTCGCGTTGGACTTGAGACGGGTTGACGGGCGCGAGATTCTGAGAGGGATGGTATAGGTTTGATATATGTGTGGTTTGGTTGCTGGTTTGTGAGCGTGGACTTGGGCGTCGTTCCCACAGGTCATGTGAGGTTTGACCATTTCGGGAATTAAGTAAGGTTTTCGGCGGAATCTCAAAAGTGGATCGAGTCCAGACCAAGTCCAGACTGTGTATCCTTTCTCCTTTCTTCTTTCGCCTATATATTCCCATTTTCCAATCTCAATCCTCCCCACTCATGAGTAACACGTCTTTTGCCCGGCTCGGCACCGACTTCATCAATACTACCATGTCATTCTTCGAGGAAGACACCTTCACCTCCCTACCTTCGGACCAAAAAGACTTCATCTTCCAGTATTTATTGGAACAAGTCGCGGAGAAGAGGCAAAAAGAGCGGGACCATCATGCGTTGCAGGTTCTCGTCGACATGTATTGTCTCAAGCAAGGGTATGAAGTGGGTTACGGGCCGCGTTCTAAATGGATTGCAGAGAATAAGAAGAGGCTTGCTGAGGAGATTCAAGGGATGGAAGAGGACGAGGTTGAGCCGTTTTTTGAGTGGGTTTAGTTCGTTTTCCGTGTTGGTTTGGGCGCTTATTTTCGTTTTTAGGCGTTACAAGCCAGTTGACTGCGGTGAATGCGAGGATTGCGTTCAGGCTCGGGCACGAGAGTGTGAGGGTGATGGAGGTCAAGATTCAAACGTCGCCGAAATGCCCAGTTAGGAAATCTCGAGCTCTTCATGTTGTTGGTCCTGTTTCAGTACATATCATACCCTACATCCCTTTTCACGTTTTCCAACTCGCTCCCTAAACCGCTTGCAGGTAGCGTCTCCTAAGTTCTCTCCCAGGCTCCGAGTCATCATCAACTACGTTCGTGAGACCCTCGGAAAGACACTGGCGCACAGCGGGCGGTGACTGATGTTTGATTCCATCTGATCATGACTCGGTTCGCAATGGCTGTCCCCCAAACTCGGTGAGACCAAATAGCGCTTCAAAATCAAACTACAACTCCATTTTGGACATTTCCAAGGTCTGTTGTTTGATCATCTCCGCAGCGCCAGGGACGATGCTATATATAGCTTGGCCAGTTATTTATAGAGCGCGGAATGCTTGTACAAAATGGTTGAAGGTAAGCGAGAGAGAGAACAAATGACGCTGAGTCCTATATGAAAACAAAGCTCTCTCTAATTTCCGTAAAAATAAAAGAAAAAACATCCTTCTCTATTGACATAGTTTCGGAGCAATCGAGGGCAACCGGAAGGGTCCAGTTATTTATAGACCCGCATTTCCAACTCCGCACCCTTCAAATTTCAATTCGTTCTCACCTGCGGCCATTGTTTCCCCTTTGCTTCTTTCCTCGTCCTCCTCGTCTTCCGTAATGTTTTCGTCACCACTCCTCCTCGTCGCTGCTCTCGCAGCCCTCCGCTCATTTTCTCTGGCCTCTGAAGCACCTCCAGCCGAAATTACCCCAGCGCCCACACCCACCATTGCCAAGCGTCAAGTCGCTGGAGGCACTGGGACACCAATTCTTTCCACGCTGCACTACGCTTACACGAACCTTCCGTACCAAGTTTACCCATACCAGGTCCTCCGTGGTCCACAGTATGGATTCAACCAATGTAATTCGACTACACTGGGTGACTCGTCGAATTGCCAGACTCTCATCTTCAACGGGCCTGTGTGTTCTCAGCCAATGGCGTAGTCATCGATATTAACATGTCGTATTTTTAGGACGATTTTTGTCTATGGGGCTCTCCGGATCCCAACGGTCTCATTGGGAATGTTGAGGCGAAGGTCGTAGCGTACTGCACCAAGCCCTATCACGGCACGCGCGTTATTCCTCCCGGATCTATCACTGGTTTGCAAGTATGTTTTTGACATCTGCTCCCTTGGCGTTGATTATTAATCTAACTCACTTACAAGTGGACCAAAACTTCGGCGTACATTCAAGTCGTCGGATTTATCAGTAACGCAGGCTTAGGACTCGACCCCACAGACCAGGGTGGTGAACTTGACCCTCACGGTGCCGATCTGCAAGGCAACCCTCTTGGCGGCGTTGTTTTCTCCAACGGAACCGCTGACTCTGACGGGACCACCCTCACTCAGGTATACAACTGGAACACGTATGTATCCTTCCCTCTTGACATCAGGTTATTTTATCGCCCTTGTTAAAGATTCGTCGGAGGCAATCAATTCTGCTTCAAAGCCTGCTATAACTCCATCACCTCCCCCGACTACTGCCAGAACGTATACGATCTCGTCGGTTGTGACTATAATATGCCCTCTGCTGTTCAGAACGGCACCTTCACCGAGTGTGATGGTGATCTTCAAGACGTCGTTGGTGTCTATACCGTTAATGGCTCAAGTTCGTCTCTCATCCATACAACCTTTTTTCAAACGAAATTAATGATATATAAAAATTAGCAACCACTTGGAGCATGCCCGCCACTTTGACCGCCACGCCTCCGTATACTCCACGAGTCCCCGCTTCATCAAACTGCAAAACTTACTCTTCAACTGACATTCTCCTCGCCGGCTCTTCAACCGTAAGTCCTAAATTTGTTTCATCGTTTTCTTCGTCCCTCATCAACCGACCCCCCATCAGACATCTGTTGCCGCCTCCGCGACTGGAAAATCCGGCTCCAGCTCTGGCGCATCCGGCTCCAACGCAGGAGCCGCGTCAAACCCTTCTAGTACCTCTTCCTCTTCATCGTCGTCGTCGTCCGCTTCTTCCGGAATTAAATTCCCCTTCGTCAGTCTCGCGCTGTTGCTCGGCGGTGTGATCGCTGGTGGGATGATGGTTCTTTGAAAGTGGTGGTTCACCACGTAGAACGATTGGATTTACATATTCTACGACGATAGATGGCTGGACATTCGTTGTTGCATAATTATACCTAACCAGATGGACTCTTTCATGATCATTAACGGATCCGCTGATACCCTCGTTAGTATTGATGACGCCAGTTTTGTTGACTGTTGTAGCCTAAGAATTAATGTCGGAAGGATCATTGGGTTCAACCAAACCGGGTCGGGGGTCAGTCAATAATAACTGACCCGGGTCAATGATGTTGGATGATACCGGATATGACAGTGGTCTGTCAGTCTCTAGAAGCCGTAAAAGCTTCGATACCTTGCTACTCACAAATTATGTAATATCCATCAAGTACGTATCTCAAATCTCCCCCTCCCCGCTTCCATCCTCTCCGGAACACCGACAAACAACCCATCGACGTGATCCAACCCCCATAAATGTGTCTTTTAACTCCCTATGGATTTGTTGAAGTCTCGCTAAGTTGTAACGCGTAACTACATAACTGTAGACCGTTGTTAAAATTTCCTTGTTTGCACAAAACAGCCCTAATAGGTAGAGGAACCCTCTGTGATGTGGGGCGGTGCACCTTGGAGCTTTGAATCCCCATAATGTAAAATGCCCGAGAAAACTCGTGGAGGAAACTTGAAAGAGGTTTCTAGACCTAAAATGGCTGTTTAGGGTTCAAACAAGGGCGCTCGAAAAGGTTTCCGAGTAGTCCACGATTATGCGGTGAGTAAGCTCTTCACGAGCACTTTGGGGGTCAAGTGAAAAGTCGTGCGTTGGGCCCTAATTGAGAACGCTTGAGGGACAAAATGAGAGAAATTTTAATAAAGTTTGCTTCAACGAAAAAAAAATAATCTTCGTGGATGCATATTCATTGCCGGAGATGTAGTGTCATTTGTATGAGGTTGAAACACGAACAACCCAACGCGTATTTTTAAGCCTGCAAATATCCATACACGATCTACACCAGAAAATGCAAAGAAAATGAGCACTCGAACCATATCACAAGGTCGCTAAGGAAAGGGACCAACCACAATGCAATTGGCTCCGTATCTTCGCTCTTCTTCGTCTCAAGGATGTCCCATCGTGGCATACCCAACGTCTCAGGAAGAGCATCCCAAAAAGATCCATAGGCATCGGCAAAAGTCTTGTAGGTTCCGAGTAGACATTCCGGACAACATCCGGTAGTGCCCTTGATTATACCGGGCGAAAGAAACATTGGAATGTCTTCTGAAAGACAGCCCACAGCTGCTCTTTGGATTTGCACACTGAGGGCGGCACATGTAGCGCAAAGATCTGATAGCAGCTTGGACAACAATTGAGCGATACATCTGCGCGAATGACTTTCGATACATCTCCACTTCACATGACACATTGCCTGGATTTCGACTTCCAAGTCCTTCCATTGTTGAGTAGCCAAAAGGGTTTCGAGCTCTGTGAAATGAGTGATCAAGAATTGATAGGGAAGAACCCATGATGGGTCAATTTTCAAAGCGGCTCTCAACACCTCGAACTCTTCGCCAAGGAACGAATTTTTGCCTTCAACATGCACTGTAAAAAAATCACGAAGCGTAGTTGGGCATCTGTGGGATAGATGAGACAGCGCCCGACGGCGTAAGAATGGCACGTCGTATTTGTGGCTCATCCGAGCAATAGCTAATACCACACTGAGAGGGGTCGGAGTAGGGGGTGGCTCGAAGAAGCTAGACAAATAATGAAATATCAAAACGAAAATCTGAAGAGAACAGAGACTGACGAAGCATCATAACCTATCGCAAGGAAGAAGCAGCGGATATCCTCTGCTGCATCAGGAAGCTGTGTAACGATGCAACCATCCATGAGATCGGAGTCAAGGGGAGTGGAAGTCTGGGGTATGGCAAACATGTCGCGGAAAACGGATGAGCGGGCTTGAAGTATGCCTTTATGAACACGGAAGAGGCTGCTCTCGGCCTGAAATATGACATTGGCGTCCTCGAACCAAAGTTCCAAGACGCGATGCGGTTGCCCTTGACCAATGTCCATCGCTAGAGTGCTATCTATGAGTGGCTGATGGATATCGATGAGTACTGAGTACTGAGCGCTTGTAAGTAAGTAGTCCACGTGGTAGGCTCGTGACCATCCGTTTCTTCAAACTCCGCAAGCTACGTTCAGAAACGGCTGGGAGAAACGCAGGCTCCTAAAAGCAGCCACTCGTATCGCTCGATGAGTCTCTTCATACTATTAGCGGTATGACAAATAATATGATGTGATCATTGATGGGATGGACAAATAAACAAAACTAAGACTCGAGCTCGCGATAGAGCGGCTGCCAGAAAGGTTGTGCGGGCAACTCGGACATCACTAATTAACCCTAACGTTGGGTCTCGATGTCAAGGCCTTTCTGGGCCAGCGTGACAGGCTCGTACGGGCCGGTTTGGACTTGTGCACCAGTGGCAGTAGAGGAGAGACTACGGAACACGTAGGTAAGTAGTACAGAACTGTGCCATAGTATGCCACCATAGCATACTCGTCATACTCCAACGTGTAACGTCGTGTCAAGTTCAATATATATGTATGTGCAGGCTATAAAAGCCCTTTCGTTGTAGCGAAAACATAACTATCTACCAATGGCCGATCTACAATTCCTCGACAAAGTGAAATGCATTCTGAATGCCTTTGAGGATTCAGATCTTACAGCCCACCAATTTCTTCACGCGCTCCTATTGACGAACACATTTGAAGACCATCCCGTCACGTTGTCGATTATTGAGGACCTCGACACTATCCTCGACACCGTGAGCGCTGGTCGAGCGACTTCCGATCAAGCCAGGCAGTGGGTTTTTCGAAGTGCGCAGAAAGGCTACCAAGCACAGGTGTTCCAGTTGACGAAAAAGGAGAGTGGGCTTCACTTCTCGCCTGGAAAGATGACCAATGCTCAGTTAATGGAAAACAAGATCGAGAAACTGTCAACGCAGATGAAAGATCACGCACCTGACCTTTGGAGACTCGTCGCGTATCTCCTTGCGGCAGATCCTGCAGCGGAGCGGAGGTGGGCAAAGCTTGCGTACAGGAAGGCGGGCTCTGGGACACAAAAAGCGAACCCTCGATTGAATGATGGTGACATCACGATGGGAGATGCTGTGGGAGATGGGTCAGGGGACGAGATGTTGGAGAACGGTGGCGACATCGGATTGATTGATGAAGATGAAGACGCGCTGGAGAATCTAACGGAACAGGTTGAACACCAGCTCAACTCCCTGATTGTGATTGTGAGTGATTAAAGTCTGCGGCATACAAGACTAAAGAACTTGCCTTACAGAAACAGGTGCTCTGCTTGAGTATTATGATGCATAGCACCAACCAGGAGTGCAACTCGCTGCAGAGCATCATTGGTGTTTTTCTTCACGCGTGTAATGCGCCAGACGCCGTTCTAGAGCTCCTCACGCACCTGGGGGTTTCAATCTCACCATCGACAATCAGTAACACTGTCTCAAACCTTTCTAAGGAGTCCAGCTCCAAAGTTCATAAGCTTGGGAGGACCCTCCTCACGTTGTATGTGTACGACAACAAATGTCATCTCGTACCTTCCATGTTTCTGTATTTGCATTTTTCATGCTGACTGCAATAGCCGAAATTCCTGCCTTTTCCAACAACACCTCATTTTGTTTTCCAAGTAAGTTGAGTGGAGTGACGACAATGCTCATCACATCGTGGCCATCTTCTCGAGCCATGAGCAGGGGAATCCAGAACGACAGTGTTTTCCCAGCTCCCGTTGGCGCGCATCCTATGACATCTTTGCCAGCATATAATGCAAGGGCGGTCTTGACCTGGTACCAGCAAGGGCGCTTTCCGAATTTTTCCTGTACAAGGTTGCGGATTTCCTGGACAGTCCATTCTCAAGGTGTAGCCGCACTTAGATTAGGGTTGCTAGCTGAAGACGGTGTAGATGATGCGCTCATGGCGCTTGTAGATTTTCCGGACAGGGTATTTTTTCCAAAAATAGTGTTAGTGACTGAAATGTGACATGCCAGGGTTCCTTGGCAGAATGGGACCCAACGTTAGGGTTAATCAGTGATGTCCGAGTTGCCCACACAACCTTTCTGGCAGCCGCTCTATCGCGAGCTCGAGTCTTAGTTTTGTTTATTTGTCCATCCCATCAATGATCACATCATATTATTTGTCATACCGCTAATAGTATGAAGAGACTCATCGAGTGATACGAGTGGCTGCTTTTAGGAGCCTGGGAGAAATGAACACCCTTTGGCAGGGTCACGCTTTTGTGACACGGAACTTAGTGAAATTTCATGGTTCAGACTCTGTACAACGACAGCGCGATTTGACCGCTACTCAGTACTCACCCCTTGCTCTGAGTCTTGATCATGACCAAGGGGATCTTTCTATAACTTTCCATCCTCTTGATCTCGTTTAAAATCTCCCTCTGGCTCTTTTGCAACACTCTCATCCACCACCATGCATTTGCCAATATCTTCAACTGCCGTCGCTGCTGGACTTTCGAGGGGTGGACTCAGTTTGGTTAGGGGTTTGAGAGTTGCAGGACCTGGCCACAGATTAGTTGGGTTTTTGAGAGTTGCAGGACCTGGCAACTCAGTTGGTGGCCAGAACCCGGTATTTGGTGTTTTGTTGGTTTCAGTAGAGTCCACACATGTATTCTCGCATGACATTGAATCAAAATTGGGATTGCGTGGACTGTTGTCAGCTTTTCCAAAATGCGTCGAGAGAGTGCCTAGAAGATCTGCAATATGCACATGAAACAGTCCTCGATTTCCTGCACACCCTAACATTGCATTCCTTTCATCTTCATGGCCAGTTTGGTTCAAGGGTGTGTAATTGGGTGATGGACAGCTGGTCACCTGCAAGAAAATGTACATGCTCTGCAGCTCCATGGTGAGCCCTATCGAACTTGTCAGACAAATGTCGTCATAGCCACAGTCCTCAGTCCTCGCAAGGTGTCGAAAAAAATCTACTTTTTCAACTCTACTGTAATCGCATTATTTGAAGTAAGTAGTCTATCTAAAGGTGTAGCCAGAAAATCTTTTTTTTGTGATGTTTTGGATGGGTGTTTTGAGGTGGGTGAATGTTTCGCGGAAATTTCTCTAAGTCAGCGTCACATGCAGGGGTCCCTGCCAAACCGTGTTCATTGGTCCCAGTCGTTCTGAGGTATTCTTATTTTTCGCAGTCCGCCTGATGTTTGACCCCACAACAAAGCCACAACAAATCACAAACACCTCAGAACGACTGGCTGGCGAGTCTATGCATGTGGCTTTGAAGTTGTACCAGTTGTTTGCACCAATGTTTGTTCAGGTGTTTGAATCTTGAACGATGCACGATTTCTGGCTCAGAATCCTTTTAAAAGTTGATTTTTGACGGTTCCGGTCCTTCGCAGATATTATATTACATATATGGTCAGGATGTGGGGATATTCAGTTTGATCTTTTCATTGATGTAGCTTCAACTTCATCATACGGTTTATACCCTGCAGCTTAGTCAATTCAATTTTACATCCTCTCCAGGAGTAAGCTCAGCACAGCAATTGTTCCTGGCAGTCAAAGCTTTGGCTCCAGCGCTGACACATCTGGGTCTAAGTTTCTAACACAGGAACCGGATCAAACCCTTCTATGTAGCACCTCTTCCTCTTCACCATCCGCTTCTTCTGGAATTAAATTCCCCTTCGTCTGACTGTGGTGTTAATGTCAGCTGATTTCGGAAGGATTGGTTCAAATCTGCTTGATGGAATGTCGAACCACCCGTTGACCTGGCTGCCAGCCTGCCACCGATGTTGGGATTGGGCATAACCTGCATCAGTGATTTTTGTGAGATACCGGGTATGAGAGTATTGTCTCAAAACAGAACCTTAGACAATAAGACAAGAAAGAAGGATGGCCAGAATGTGCAAAATAGCTTATATTAAAATTCAAATATCCCCCTCCCCCCAGGACAGACAAGATTCGGCACACACACACAGACAAAAGATGTGACACACAAGCAGAAAAGCAACACACCCATCCGAAACACGGTACACCAATGCCAAGAGTGTGCTTTGGTGTTGCACTTCGTCTACTGGCACAGGCCATGTGACAACCCCTCTCGCAGCTGAATTCGCCAAGTCCACAATCAATGCTACTCAACCACAACATCAAAAAGCTGTAAGTTATTTTTTAAACTCTTTCTGCACTCAAATAAATGATCAGAGTAGAAATTTGATTCTGTAAATGACGAGGACTACATATTTAATGATACTACATATATTAAGAGAGGGAGGGAGCAACATTGAAAGAAGTGGTGGGGCTCAGCGTCATGGTACAAGCATGCAGGAGGTGGGGAGGGTGGTGGGATCCCGCTGTCCTTGTCCTGGGCACAACAGGCTCGCGGGAGGGTAGGCAGGACGAGGACGGCAGTGGGATCTCACCCTTTGCCCCAGGTGCAAATGAGAGGAAGTGGCGCTCCGCCATCCTGTTTACCAGCTTGCCCCTCTGCCCACCCTCACTGTCGTGTCCAGGATGGCTGGCATGGTGACAGTCGTGGTCGCGTCGCATTCATATTCCAGCTGGCTGACGTGGACATGGACACGGTCATGTTTGCAGGTGGTCTGCATATCGGCGCTTTCCCTTTTGGGGCCTATGAGGTGGTAGGGATGAGAAGGGGAGGGGGATGAGGCTGAATACATACCAAATATGAGGACGTATACCTCTATCCCTCGTCGTTGCGCCTGCCACTTCTGGATTCTGGATACTGTCATCAGTGCCAAACAAGAGGGAATGTTGCGCCTATGTCGGGACGTTTGCTGCCACGTGCCTTGTTGGAGGTTACAAGGCCCAAGTGTGCAACCCCCCCTCCCTTTACCCCCCCAAATCTGGTATGTTCTTCCCACCCTCCTATGTTTTTCTTAGAAGGAACCATCGGCTATTCGCAGCTGTCACCTCCGAATGTCCTTGACCAATGACAGCGACGACCTTCCATGTAGTGTTTGAAAGTCCGGTTCGGTCCAATTTTTTGATGCCCAGGGGCGTTAATTGTAACCGTAACCGGTCTGCCTTTTCCCCAGAAGTCAAAAGACCAGACCGGACCGCAAAAAGACCGCAGACCGCGGTTTTTTGCGGTCTATAGACCGGTTTCGGTCTGCATCGGTTTTAACCGGTTTATGACCGGTCTTTAGGCCAATATTTTAAAATTATGAATAGGTAAATTTATTAAAATCTCTAATAGCTTTAAAACGAGCCCAAGAACGTTAAATTCCGTTAGGAATTGGTGCTTCTATAAAATAAGTCTGGTACATCTATTATTCCCAAAAGTAATTTACATTTTAATTCATATCTCTCTCGTTTTTTTTACCAAATCGTACGTTCTTGGGTGCGTTTTAAAGGGTATTTAAGGGGCTACAAAAGACCGGTCCAACCTGGTCAAGACCGGTTCATGTTAATCGGTTTTTTTGCGGTCTTTACATTTCAAAAATAAAAGACCGTAACCGCAGGTCTGATCTTTTGCAGTCTTGGTCTGGTCTGGTTACGGACTTTTTTGTGAACGCACGGAACTCAGAGTCAGACACGATGTGTTATGACGACTGATATTGGGTAACTACCTGTGAACACACGGAACTATGTACAGGTAGTAGTCAGTATAGTAAAGTGAAATGTATATAAAGTAAACTCACCTCAGAGTCAGACACGATGTGTTATGATGACTGAGGTGAAGAGAAATAGGCTTTTCGTATTTATAGGAATGGGGACGGTGGCTTGCACAAAGACTGGCAAAGTAAACGTAAAGACTAGCAAATAACGGAAGTAAAAAGATGAATAGAAAAGAGAAAAAGGAGGAACAAACAAAGCGTATGCATAAACAATAAGGTCACGAGACGTCTTCTTCAACATTTTTCCAGTCATGAGACCGGACTTCCAAACACTACTTCTGTGGTTCTCCATGCTCACTGAACTTGTCGACTGGCCTGGCGCCATGCCAACCACCTATGCACCCACTGTCGATTCCATCGCCTTCTGGGTATCATGCCCAGGAAACGTCTGTAAACACCACACACGTCAAGATGTATGCAAGGTATTGAAAATTACTGACCAAATATGTATGCAACTTACCAAATCAAGCTCCAAGGGTGCTCTGGTATGTGTTGCAGACCATTTAAATGGTTTTTATTAGATAAGGTCACAAAAAAATTTAAGGCCTCCAAAGGATGTCCCCCCCCCCCAACCCTATATCTGGGATCCACGTTCTGCCACCCCATTGGTAACGCCAATGCAACCATTTTGATTTATAGTCCACTCTCCAAAGTCCTTGAGAGTACGTATACCCTTAAGGTGCAAGGAGCGAAGTGAAACACCCATGAATCTGTGAATGCCTGTGAACCAAGATGATTGCACAAGTTCTTCACATGGGTCAACAAAACATCACCTTCAATTATACCAGATTGATCCATCAGCCTGAGAGACAGTGACAAATCCTTCAATACCTTTTGAGCTGTGACCCACTGAGCAGGGATGAGGTGCATTTGTCATGAAAAGTCTCTGTGTATACCACTACCATCAAGCAGGTACTGGCAGTTATTCCACTCGCATGTCCAATCCATTCGCATGATATGCGCCATAGTTTGGTACAAGCGGATGTGATGGTTAAGGTCACGACCAATCCCGTTGACAGCAATGCCGGTGTTGATGCGAGCAATGGATGGAAAGTCAAAACCATGGTAAGATACAGGGAGAGTTGCAATGGATGTCGATGGTTGAAAAGGAAAGCCAAGGGCACCATGGACCTTGCGAATGATCAATCTGTCAAGTGCCTCAGCGTCAGATTGTTTCACTGGTTGAAGTGACAAGAGTGCATGACAACGGGAGACAATGTTTTGCGAGACAATCTTTCGGATTAGTGTAATGAGAAGACGACCTATTACCATCAGAAACTGAAAGCTTTCTATGAAGTCTTTTAGTTCAGCAAAACGGGACACAGGATCATTAACTTTGGTCTGAAGAAAGTCTAGATCGTCTCTGATGAGCACGACATCATGCTCAGTGATGTCAAGGGGATTGACCCCCCTTCCCATGGACACAGATTGGAACTTGACAGTGTCAGGATAGTTCTCAGAGGCCGCAAGAACGTAGGCTTTGGACTTTGCCCATTGCATCAACCAACCATATGCATATTGAAACCGTTCCATGGCAAGTGCGTTGTGTTGCAACGACTCTAAGGACTTGGAGAAAATGTAAGAGTCATCTGTAGCTTCTACCATAGCAACGAGCAGCTTGTGTTTTGCATCCATTAGATGCGGGTCATCCTTGATCATACTGCTCGTTGTCACAACAAGGGCATCAGGGTCCTTAGAAAGAAGGTCGTTAAGAAAATAGTGACCAAGACTTGTAGTAAAGGTCAACTTGAGTGGGGACGTGGCTCCTCCCTGTTTGTTAAGCCCAGACACCACTATTGGGTCAGAGACCCCATACGGTGTTCGGATATAGCATTGAGTCTGATGCTGGGCAGCATAGTCAAGATCAATGATTGACTTTGGGAGCCCATAAGCATGAATGGGGTCATAGAACTCTTTGGGTGAGAGATAGTCAAACCCTTTCATTTGGTCGCACTTTAATGTGAAGACCTGTTGTTTATGACGATTTGCCCAGCATCTGACACCAGATAAGTAACTCATAAGATCGCGGGTCTGAACACCAGGCTGAGCAGCCACATGACTGTCAGGCAATATATGTTTCTCAGCAGAGTAACACATTAAAGAGATATTGAGCCATGCCATAGGCAAGTTCGCAAGGAAATTGGAGAGTAGGAGACCCCTCCAATTCTGCAAATCTGTTCATAGACCACATTTATGATACATAGTCAACCACATGTCCTTGATATTCCCAGGGAAATGGGAGTTCAAGACTTGATAGTTGTGAAGATCCAGTACGAGAGAAAGTGTGTCATCAGAAAGGGACTTAATGGTCCACTTTTCCATCCATCTGGTCCAGGTGAAGGCTTGCTATTGCCCTGTCTCAACATTGCACGAAAATCGGCAAGAGAAGCCTTGATCGGCCAAATGAAAGGGTCATCAGTAACTCGACCCCTAACTTCCTTGACTGATGGTGTATTGAGCCAGGGCTTCGGCAAGTCAGGAACATGACTATGATCATAAAGTCTCGAAAAATATTCTCTTGTCATTGCTAGTGCTTGGAAGTCCAGTCCCAAGACTGCAAAAAGACCACAACTGGACTGGACTAAGACTGCAAAAGACCGGACCTGCAGTCTTGGTCTTTCAGATTTGAGATCAGAAGACTGCAAAAAGACCGGTTATCGTGGACCAGTCTTGTCGGTTAATACCGGTCTTTTGTACCTACATAATAACCCTTTACAACACACCTAAGATCATATTTTTAGGCCAAAAGCTGACAAAGATACATACAAAACTGTAAAATATTTCGTGAAAATAGCAGATGTACCTTAGTATTTTTGTATATACATCAATTCTCAACGTAATTTAATGTTCTTGCACTCGTTTAGAAGCTATGATGAATGTTAATAAACCTACCAACTCATAATTGCAAATTTCATTGCATATTTAGTTGAAGAACTGGTCTTGAACTGGTTGTAACCAGTCTGGACCAAGACTGGTCCAAAGACCGAAAAAGACTGCAGTCTTGGTCTTTTCCGGTCCTGGTCCAGTCTTTTGAGGTTTTAGGAATTGTGTGGACCAGTCTTGGTCTTGGTCTTTTTGTTTTGGGCCAAAAAACTGGACTGGACCGGACTTTCAAGCACTAGTCATTGCTTTAACCCCTTCAGGGTCACAGACAAGTTTTTCAGGATCATCAAGGTCATTCAGAGCCAAAGGAAAGGAAAGGAAGTTGGAAGACTGAATCAGTTTCCTTGTAGAGCCACCCTTGAGCGCAGCGGCAATATGTAGTCTCTCCCCAAGGCATGCTCGAAGTAATACCTCTTTCGACTTCTCTGCAAAGAGTAGTTTGTGGAGCTGCCTATGTCTTCTCATGAGGTATTGAATGAACATGTGATCAGCTGCATCACACGAGAAATCACACAGGGCGCATGCATGGAGGTCTTTCGCCTTCAGTGAGACACATGCAGTAGTGAATAGCACCACCAACACATCTGATATCAGATACTATACCTTTGATCTTACCATTTGTTATGACTTCGGTATGCTTGCAGTATTGCTTCGCGTGACCAAAGACATTGGCAGAGACAGACATTAAGATCTTGGTAAGATTTGTGTATTGCTGAATGAATGAGTCATCGTCAATGACTGGATGTTCATGGATACACTCAGCTTTGACCCGCTCATCAACCAGATCCCTAAAGGTCTGATACTTGTGCTTCTCAGACTGAGTGGTAGCTACAACTGATATGATATACATAAGGCAAATGCCTGCACAGAGATTTAATTGTAGCCAAGAAAATCTATGATATGAAATGGTGTGGCAAATATATGAAATCTATTTTTTTCCCTACAAGCCCTATATTTCTTTCTCTACCTAGGCCAATGTTTTATTTATTTCTTTTCCCCAGCCACTCATTTCATTGGTTGCCTAGGCCGATGTTTTATATATTTCATTGGTTGCCTAGGCCTATGTTTTAGCTATTTCTTTCCCTGCCAGGCCTATATTTCTTTCTCTACTTAGGCCGATGTTTTATCTATTTCTTTGGTTGCCTAGGCTGATGTTTTAGCTATTTCTTTCCCTCCCAGCTCTATATTTCTTTGGTTGCCTAGGCCTATGTTTTAGCTATTTCTTTCCCTCCCAGCCCTATATTTCTTTGGTTGCCTAGGCCGATGTTTTATCTATTTCTTTGCTTGCCTAGGCTGATGTTTTAGCTATTTCTTTCCCTGCCAGGCCTATATTTTTTTCTCTACCTAGGCCGATGTTTTATCTATTTCTTTGGTTGCCTAGGCTGATGTTTGAGCTATTTCTTTCCCTCCCAGCTCTATATTTCTTTGCTTGCCTAGGCCTATGTTTTATCAATTTCTTTCCTCCCATTCACCTATTTCTTTCCCTCCCAGCTATATATTTCTTTGCTTGCCTAGGCCGATGTTTTAGCTATTTCTTTCTTTCCCAGGGTGCATTTCCAAATATGGTAATGCATATTTAAAAAAATTAGAAATGGTAATAAAATGGCAGAAAATTCTGGGCCAAAAAGGGGGTGGTGCTCACTGTTGGTGATGACATTGAGCATTGGTCTAGGGTGGTCTTCCAAATTTGTAAAAATACCCAAAAATACCCAGCAAAAATATACAAATGGTGGCTAGAATGTCAGGTACTGCTATCAGGGTCCACCATATATATCCAAAAAATAAAATATCCTTGGGGATGCCAAAAGTGGAAGATACATACAATGGCTTATCAGGAGGGTGGTCACATGACCAATTTCCCAAAGTGGTAAAATAAAATAAAATAATTGTAGCCCTGCACTGTAGCTTTCTGAATCTGTTTGAATTATATCCTAGAGTGCTCCTGTTGTGGAGATATGTCAATAAAGATCTTTCTGACCACTGTTTTTTTTTTGACCTTTTTGCACTTTTCTCCCCATGAAAACAATACCAAACAATATGATTTCAACACATTTAGAAAGCTAAGAGAATGGGCTACAATGATTGTGTCATGGAAAATTTGACCCAAAAAGGAAAGTGCAGCCCTTAAAAAGGATATTGACAATGACAGACTACAAAAGATTACAGGTAAACTACAAAAATCAGTTATGGACTACAATATTTACTAACAGACAACCAAAGACTACAAAAAGTTGGATATAGACTACAAAGTTTATGAATAAACTACAAAAGATTACAAAGATTGGACATAGATCACATAGAAAAGTTTGTAGTGTCTACTTTTTCTGACTACAAAGGTTTGTAGTGTCCACTTTTTTGATTACAATGGTTAGGTCTACCATGATGGTTCAAGCTAACCTTTGTACTGAGAGGGACAGTCCAGCAGATGCACCCATGTTTGCTTTTGGCCAAGCTAGTACTCCAAATTGTGAAGTATAGTTGCACCTATCCATATATCAGCTCCAAGACAAGGCAGATCTTATGACAACTTAGGGTGACATGAAGTCTGACCATCATGCAACATAGGTATAGTGACATGTCCATGGTCCTGGTGCTCCTCCACCTTTCTGACCAAGTTCATGTAGTCAAGGACCAAGATGAGCAATCACTAACCTGATCTGTCAAGGCAACCCAGACATGCTTCAGACCCAAGCTTGAACTTGTCATTCCATCCAGTGATGACTTCAATCACCACATCCATCTTCAGCTCTTCCACCTATACATCCAGCCAAGATATGAACAATGAAGTGCCCAATCAACATATCAGCAAAGCAATATGTGAAGCAATCTAGACAACTCCATATAGTGTTCAAAAGTCCAGTTAGGTCCGGTTATTGGGTGCCCAGGGGCTCTAACCGAGACCGAGACCGGTTAGCCTTTGTCCCGAAACCTAAAATAACCTAACCGGACCACAACTAACCGGTTATGGTCGGTTATTTGCAGTTACTAACTGGTTAGGACCGAAAAATAAAGAATCGGTTATAACAAGGCAAATATGCTCATATGTATCTTGATAGATATTATTTCTGCATATTCTAGCTTTAAAATGAGCCCAAGAACGCTAAAGTCGGTGAAGAATTGACATATTTATGCAATTATCCTTGAAAGTCTACACATTTGAGTGATATTTTAGAGATTTGACCGTAACTTAGTCAAATTTTAAGTGTTTTCGACATTCTCATGTGCATTTTGAAGGTGTATAATAGGGCTGGTTATAACCGGTCATAACCGGTTATTTAACAGTTAGTTAACCACAAAATAACCGGTTATTCCATTTTCGAAATCAACTAACCCTAACTGCAGTTAGGTTAGTGTTGCGGTTAGGTCCAGTTATTTTCCGGTTATTTTCCAGTTAACTAACCTAACTTTCAAATATTAACTCCATATCCACCAACAACAACCATCTCTGTGTCAGACATGCAAGTTCCATGCCAGAGCCAGACAGTGACAAAGTTGTAAAACTAACAGTCAGGATGTTCATGACCACATCAGCATCTTCTCTACCATCTCCATCTGCTTCAAGTCCAACCTTCAAGCAATCTGGACAACTCCATATCCAGCAACAAGAACCACCTCAGTGTCAGACATGCAAATAGCATACTAGAACCAACCAGACAGACTTACACTCAGGATGACCATGACCAATCCAGCATCTTCTCTACCAACTCCATCTGCTTGAAGTTCAAGTCTATGGATGTTAAGCAATCTATACAAGTCCATATCCAGCAACAAGAACCAAGTCTATGTCAGACATGCAAGTAGCATACCAGAAGATGACTGATCCAGTGTCTTCTCTACCATCTCCATCTTTATCAAATACATACATGCTTGAACTTGGTCAAGCTAACTGTCCAAGCTGAGACTTGTAGTAAACTTTTCTATGTGATCTATGTCCAATCTTTGTAGTCTTTGGTTGTCTGTTAGTAAATATTGTAGTCCATAACTGATTTTTGTAGTTTACCTGTAATCTTTTGTAGTCTGTCATTGTCAATATCCTTTTTAAGGGCTGCACTTTCCTTTTTGGGTCAAATTTTCCATGACACAATCATTGTAGCCCATTCTCTTAGCTTTCTAAATGTGTTGAAATCATATTGTTTGGTATTGTTTTCATGGGGAGAAAAGTGCAAAAAGGTCAAAAAAAAACAGTGGTCAGAAAGATCTTTATTGACATATCTCCACAACAGGAGCACTCTAGGATATAATTCAAACAGATTCAGAAAGCTACAGTGCAGGGCTACAATTATTTTATTTTATTTTACCACTTTGGGAAATTGGTCATGTGACCACCCTCCTGATAAGCCATTGTATGTATCTTCCACTTTTGGCATCCCCAAGGATATTTTATTTTTTGGATATATATGGTGGACCCTGATAGCAGTACCTGACATTCTAGCCACCATTTGTATATTTTTGCTGGGTATTTTTGGGTATTTTTACAAATTTGGAAGACCACCCTAGACCAATGCTCAATGTCATCACCAACAGTGAGCACCACCCCCTTTTTGGCCCAGAATTTTCTGCCATTTTATTACCATTTCTAATTTTTTTAAATATGCATTACCATATTTGGAAATGCACCCTGGGAAAGAAAGAAATAGCTAAA